GAGCGCGCTATCAGTCTCAAGATTCGTGCGACCGAAATGAAAATACGGTAAGTCCCTCTATCGTCGCGCAAGAGTTATAGAGCGAGATAATACAATAATTCGTTCGAACACGCAGAGTCCTTAAAATTACATCACATCCACATAGATCTTATATGCATATATTGTAACCATTTTATTATATATATATATATATACGTGAACACAATATAGAACATTTACACTATTTTATTTAAGTTAACGCGTTTATATCTTGTAAGTATAGTCTTCGTAAAGTTGGCTTCTCTGTTGGTTACTTTCGATGACTGTTTCTTCTCAGAGTCTTAAGTACTTATTTCGCTTTGATAACGTGGATGCTTTCGTATTACGTCGTTCGTGCTTCAAGAGATCTCCTTATATATCCTCGCTTCTTCTGCAAACTTGCAATATCATTGAAAATGACAGTTAAGCGCCAGGAGCATTTATAATCGAGCCTATAATCTCTCATTTATTGAACATGCGAGTGCGAACGTGTATTAATGATCAGATACAAACGGTTAGGCACGTATCTGTCGATATATCCGATTAAACTCTCTTTCTGAAATCCGTCGATTAAACTCTCAATAAACACCAACAGGGTTTCTCAAGATACTTTGAAAACAGTGTTAATTTATTTTTTTACTCTTCTTTTTTTTCCCTCGAAGTAGATATAGAACTCTTAAACTTTCGTCTCCTTGCGGTTCGCGTAAAACTTCACTCTCAGCATCGACGCAAAATCCTCTACAATTTCTACTGTACGAGGGTCCTGGCGATTATTTCACGAATTACCGGCGGTCAGGTTGCTGTTCAGCAGCTCGGTATTGGCGTTGTTCGCCGTAAGCTGCTGTTGCTCTTTCTGCTTTCTGCGCCGCCTGCGATTCCGCTTGTGCACGCAAAACAGCATCACGAAGATGACGAAGAGGAACGCCGAGACGCATGAGACCACCAATATCCAGATAGACCGGGCCTTCTCGGTCTCCACTTTCTGCTGTATGATGCCCGAACACTCGTCGTACAGCTCGTACGTCCGATTGCTGAATTGCACGTCGTCGCAACTCTCGCTCGCAGTTCGCGACTGAGTGCAATTCGCAAAGTCGGACTTGATCTTGATCCGACGTAGCTTCACCCAGGCGTTGAACGTCTGACACTCGCAACCGGCCTTGAACTTGATCGGGTTCTTGGAGAGATCGAGCACCTTCAACGAGCAGAACGGCGCCAGATCTTCGGTGTCGATCGAGGTGATCTGATTCTCGGACATGTTGAGCGTGAGGAGGGTCGGCTGGAAGCCGATGCTCGGGATCTTGGTGAATTTGTTTCTGGTCAATTGTAGCAGCTTGATCGGCGAGGTGACCTCCGTCTTGAACACCGAGTCGGTGAGCTTGTTGTGAGCGAGGTAGAGCGTGCGGAGATACGGCAGCTGGAAAAGACTCTTCGGCAGGTTGTCGCAGCCGTTCTTCGAGAGATCTAGCACCTCCAGATATTGTTGTTTGGCGAAGGCCCCCTCCTCGATATTCGATATGAAATTGTCGGCTAGGTAAATGTAAGCTAGACTTGTGTACGGGGTCAAGCTATCGTTCGTCAGATCCCTCACGCGGTTCACGGTAGCATCCAGTATCTGTAAGAGAAATATTTTCAAATAAGAATTACGTACATAAAAAACATTTAAGAGAGAATAATATGTACATCTGCAAACATATATTTATTCTTTTTATAAAAATAAAGAGCTTGTTGAAGAGATTGTTGAATTAAGTCGGAAATCGGAAAATGTTGTGAAATTTTATGTTTTGGTGATAATGGGAATTCGGTAATCGCTTAAATTTAAATATTACACAACAACAGGCAACCAGCAAATATCACGTGTGCCGTTTATTGATTTTAAACTGTACAAAATTAATAAACGAGAATCTTAATGTCTCATTTCTGTGGGGGCACGCAACGTGTTGTTCGGATGGAGATTAACGCACCGCCGTTCACGTTATTCATCAGATTTCTGTTAGTAAAAACATTTCGGGATGAAAAATGGTAATTCCGTTGAACGGAAAGAGAGCGGAGAGGGATTTATCAATAAGATCTTTGTTTCCGTAAAGATGCACTTGTCAAGATTAGCCGGTCGGCGAGAAGAATTAATGACGTAGCTAACTCAATAATGCAAGGACGCGAGGTATTAGGACGACGGATAATGGTTTCTTTGACGTGACCT